GAAAGGAGAAGGGCCTTTTCTTCACAATGAACTGCAGCCTTTGGCAGCCCCTTGTGTAGAAAACTCTGCTGCAGTGTACCAGTGCTTATAGTAATGATACCACTTCTTTAATGCCATTTCAAAGTACTTTAGATTTTTGAGACAGGTGGGATCTACATTTTGTAATGTACTCTTATTTTTTTTTTTAATTGAACACTCTAATTGTGCTTTTGAAATTTGTCCTAAGACATAAGCTTGGTGAATATGAATGAAAGCTCAGTGGGAAGGTTCAGGGGGAAGAATTGTAACATTTTCTTAATGATGGGAATATGAATTAGAAGGATGAAAGTACCTTCTTTCTTTCTTTCCTTCTTTCTGTGACTTGCCCAGAGTCACACAGCTAGTAAGTGTTATGTGTCTGAGGCTGCATTTGAACTCAGGTCCTCCTGACTCCAAGGCCAGTGCTCTATCCACTTCACCACCTACTTGCCCCCAAAGTACCTTCTTTAAAAGAACGTTTGTTTTTTCTGGGACATGCCTAGTGCCTGATTTGTGCATAAACAATCTGCTAATCAGCATAGCATGTTAACTGAGGACATTTATGGCATATTTTAGGGGAAGGAACCAAGATAACACTACCTTCCTTTTGGTTGTATGACCAGTTTATAACTATTAAGAAGGCATTCTTCCTCTCTGATGTTTACTGAAATCATAGTGGTGGTGGTCTCAGTTTTCCTCAGATTTTCATGCTAAAGATTTAGAAAAGTGGAGAGGCTTTGATGTATGGTTTATTTCATTTTGAGCATAATTAGATAATAAAAGGTCAGATGAATACTGGAGTTTAAAAAAATACGGAGAGTTTCAGGCAGCTGAGCTAAACTGGCTAAAACTTACTAAAATGAAAACTAGTTTACTTACTGAAGTGTAGATAGGGTTTTAAAAGAGTATGACCCTTGCTTTGATCTATCTTAGGAAATTATCTTTTTAAGAAGTAAATTATCTTAAATGTAGTCTGTTCTGAATAATACTATAGGCTTATTTTCAAACTACATATTTCCAAGAAATACTACTTTAGAAAGAAACAGATATTCCTACAAACAGAATAGTATCTCTGTTTTCTGTTTTTTTCTTATACTCTGGGTAAACCTGATTACTCAAGAGCAAAAATGTGCCGAGATAGTCTAGGAAAAACAGAGACAGTGTATTGTGCATAGAGTACTGTATTTGGAGTGAGAAATATCTGTATTGAAATCATGCCTCAGACATTTACTGACTGTGATACTAGGCAAGTCATTTAATCTCTGGTCCTCAGTTTGGTCAGTGGTAAAATGAGGGGGTTGGACTCAATGGCCTCTTGTTTCCTTCTAGCCCTAAATCTGTGATCTTCTGAAAACAGCAAATCTTTCCCATTTTCAATTAACTAATGAAAGCTGAAATTGCAAATTTAATATTATGACAGATTCAATATCAGTTTTTTCTCCTATTTTATTTTGGATCACTTAGTGTGAGAACAGATTGGTGACCTTTGAATATTTGTAGTCACATACTATTGAAGTACCCCATTCTCAATACCTGTTGTATATAACATATTATTTAGCATCCATTTTTTGGTGTGGTTACCACTTATAGTTACATTTTTGTGGCATGTAAAAGATTTTTCCTCCCGTTATCTATGTGACATATGAGTAACCTGGAATATGAATTGTCTGAATCAAATAAAGCAGTAAGAGTATGTGGTTAGGGACTGACGTCAATAAATTGAATAAGTCCTCCTTTTATTTATTATAGTGCTCTTACAGTCCTGCTTAGTTATGTTAAATACCCCTGACCTTCTCCTCTGCCTGCTTTTCAGTGTCCCAGAATGCTTAAACATCCATAGAAAGGCTTCCAATTTGATTAGCATTGATGCTGCTGAGATTGCTTGGAACCCAGAAGGGCAAAGATAAATTGTGGGTTGCCGCAGTGGTCTGCCCTGGGTGGCTTTTACATCTCTCAGCCTCTGTTTTAGATTGCAGTCTGGCCAGGCCATTTGACAGAACATCTTATAAGAGAAAGAGTGACTTCCTGGCTGAAAATTTAAAGTTGAATTTTATCAATTACTTCCACTTAAATGGGGGGTGGTTGTGCTTATACTTGATTTACAATACATTTTAATGGAATGAATCCTTAACTTTTAATGCATTATTTGGGGCCAAGAATCATATTTCATTAACTTTATGTATTCCTCTGAGGGAATGGCTTTGTTCAGTATGAGTGTGTCCCTGAGTCAGAAGGATAGTGCCAATTAATAGAGACTTGACCCTTGTTCCACCTGTTCCTTTTAGATCCGACAGTTTGCTTAGAATAAGCTTCTGTTAGGAAAGTGATGTTGTTTAACCTCTCCTATTCACATGCTTAACTAAACTCCTTTAGAGATTATTTCATTGTATTTGTATCCCCAGGGCTGAACACAATGCTTGGTGGTAGTAGGTGCTTAGTAATTCCTGGTGGAATTATTATTGACCCTCAACTGTTAGTCACATCTTCCAGATTGACCTAGGGGTGCAAAGGGACCATCAGTGTTGATGGATATTCGCCTCTGTGCTGAGCCTGTCTACTTCAGGAAATATTACTTAAAGTAGTACACATGCCTAGGGCAAAGAAAAAACCCAAACTTGGAGGTTATAAATAGGAAACTACTGCAAAATAATAACAAACAAAATTGCATTGTTGTAAGAGAAGTGAACTCTTGTTTTTATCTTGTTTTATGATTAGGCTTATTAAGCAAATTTAAATAGATAAGCAGGATATATTTTTTTAAAAACCCACAGCAAGTTTGAGATGTCACACTAAAAATAAACTGAATTTTTCAGTCAGTACTGGACTTAGAGTTAAGAAGAACTGAGTTCAAATTATTCTTCAGATAATTACTAGCTATGCAACCCCTTCCTGCCTCAGTTTCCTCATCTTTTAAATGAAGGAGTTGGAATTGATGGCATCTGAGGTTCCTTCCACCTCTAAAATTATGATCCTACAATTCCCCCTGGGATTGGGGGGTAGAGGGAATGTTATTGGCCAATCAGGAAGAGAAAAGAATGAAGATTAAATTATGTCTAGGCTTGAAATTAGGCTTATGAAAAGCAATAAGCAGAATAAATTGAAAAGCTCTCTAATTTACATCAGTCAGGAGTAGACCTGCAAAGTAAATAGTGGTCATAATTTGTAAAGGATGGCAGTAACTGCCAGTAGAGTCTTTATCACCATAGTGATACATTTATTGTTTCAGAGCCTCTTGAAATTATTAATTTGTCTGTGTAGACATAAAAAATACCAAGCCCCATGTGAAGAATAGATGGGTTTTAAAAATTTTGATAATTATAAATTTATTATTTTTAAGAGAATTTTAAAAGTTTTGAGAGAGTAGTGGTTTATGCTGCTTAATGCAGCAGCTGCTTTCCCCTCTCTAATTATATGCCACAGTTCCTTTGGTGGGGAAAATTGGGTAGCTGACTTTTAAATCTGACCTGATTTATCCTGCTGTATAGGAAAAATGGAAAAAGACTTTAGGGACCAGTCAGTACATTGTTATTCATTTTGATGTTCAATTAAACTACTATGTTGCTAGTTTACTTTTTAAATATTAATGTGATTTATTAAAAACTCATATTTGTTACCTATTCTGATGTTAGAGATTGAGAAGTCAAATCCAAACCCATGTAGTGAAGTAACTTCTTCTTTAGCAATCAGCCTAGAGCCTTAGAGTAGATAAAAGTAGAGAATTTTAGAAGAATTAATGGTTTGGGGTTGGTAAAATTGCCACAGAAATACCTTTTGAAAAAGTTAAATTATTTAAATAAAAAAAATTCAAGATGGCTTAATCTGTTAATTTTTAAAAATCAGGCTTTATTCACTAATTTTGTATCTTTTCTCGACTACTGTTTAGTTAGATATTCACATTAGCTATTTTCTCAAACATGACCTCAACGGTTATGTGAGGAGACTTCATTACTCTCTTCCCTTCCACCTCGTTCCTCCCCCTTTTCCTAATTCATTTCATTGTCTAAACAGGATTTCCTTATGGAATTATCTCATGTCTTTTGAAATTATATAAGCCTGCTTTTCTAACTATGAAAGAATACTTTATTTCAGTCCTAAAAAGTAGACTTTACCTGGAGCATTTCTGATTTTAAATTCAGGATGCACAACTTGGAAGCAAATGGATTTCATTACATCAGTTTTATTCCCAGTGACCCTTAGTATGTTTTAAAAATGTTTTTCAAAAACATGATCTTAAGCACAAAAGGCTGTTCTTGTATTAGGCATCACTTAGTGAACTATATACTCAGGGCATATTGCTTCCAAAGCTCCCGCTGCTATTTCCTCTGGACAAATTGCATTATATATTAGCAATAACAATGCCATGTCATTTTGAAGGAAACCAAATTAAGTAGTACAAGTCCAGGTTGCTGGAAGCTAGATGCCACGATATGTTTTGGTTACCATGTAAAAAATACATTTGCTTAATTACCAAAAGCAGTATAGTTCAAGACACTGTTGCTTGGCACATAAAAAAAATCCAGATGTGAACATTTTAGTCCAAGACAATTTAATTGTAAAGTGTAGAGAGGACATTTGTTCTGATCAGTTTGAAGGACTCTTGGTATTAAGAAATGTAAACACAGCTTGCCCTTTACAGGTCACTCGTTGGAGAAAATTGTCATTCTTGATGATACTTAGTGCCCTTAATTGACTTTGGGAAGGCTCACTAGGAAGTTTTCTTTAAAGCATGTTGCCTTCGAGATACACAATTGGGAAAGACTTCTTTGGGACCTGATTGTTGTTCCATATATTCAGGTTATAGTTGATGTCCAGCTTTTCCAGTTGCTACTTAGAATAAACTAGTTTTCCAGTTTTGTGTTATAGGAGGGTAAAGAAGTCTATGTGAGAGTTTTCTTCTCATCGGTAATTGAGGTGACACATTTAGTATTGCCTCCAGCAGTCATGTGTCTTTAATCTAGGGTTCTTTTTGTTGTCTCTTTCAGATTGTTTGAAGGAAGATCTACAAGGAAGCCTGAGAAGCTTAAAACCCTCTTCTGCTACTTTAGAAAAGTCACTGAGAAAAGTAAATCCATTTTGTTCTTTCACAGCGTTTTCAGTGAAAGGGGCTAGTGAATTCCTATGGAGAGTGACTTGTGAGGATGCTTTAATATAAAAAGAAAAAACCAAAGTCCAAAATGCCAACAAGAATTGAATTAGTAGTTTGGTTTTTACCTTTGAGTGTCTTTATTTGCATATAGACCTTGTTGTCTGAAGGTAGGCCATACTTTCCCCCATCTCTGACTTACCTAAGACCATAGTGTGGTTTATAATGGTACTTTTATTGTCATAGATGTAATTTAAGTCCTAATGCTGCAAGATAAAGGAAACAGCTTTTCTGCTTTCAAATTTCCAATAACTGCCTGCACCCCAGACCTAGATCCTCATAGATAGGAACTCACTGCATTTCTCAAAAATTCTCCCTCCCGTAACCCAAATCTGAAGAAGAAAGAAGTTATTTGGAGAATATTAGGAGGTTATTCTTGGGGTTCTTCTACTCAAAGACCTTGGCCTTTGTCTTGCTCTTTGGGTATTTCACTTGAAGGGAGATACTTCAGGGACTGCTACTGGAAACTGCTTAGATAGGTCTTGAGAACTCATTGTCATAGATTGAAATGTTCACTTGGCTTTTGGCTCTTACTTTTGTAGTGGGTTTTCTAGACTTGGCAATGAGGCAGTCCATGGAGCAAGAGAAGGCTAATAGGTATGGAAAGGGTATCTTTGTTAAATCTCCTCCTTAGCTGCAAAAATCCTAGAGGGAAGTAAGCAAAACCAGGAGAACAATTTATATAATAACAAACAACATTGTAAGGACAGTCAACTATGAAAGACTCAGGAATTCTAATCACCACAGTGAACAACCACATTTCCAGAGGACTCATGATAAAACACACTACCCACCTCCAAATGGAGGTGATAGACCGAGTGCAGATTGAGGCTTGTATTTCATTTTTGGTTTTGGGCATACCTAATGTAGACATTTGTTTTGCTTGATATATTTGTAATGGATTTGGTTTTCTTATTTTCTCAACTGGGGAGGAGGCGGGTAAAAGGAGAGAATTCACACCTGAAAATAAAATCATATTGAATTTTTAAAAAAATCCAATCTCTGACCATACACTGATTGTGTGACCCCAGACAAATCCCTTAACTAGTTAAGTGCTCTAGGAAGCTGAGACTGTAAATCGCAGTGAAGGTGCTGACTGCCTTTATAGAGAGGGGAGGTTCTTCACCTGGGACCTCTATATCATTGAAATCGAAGATCCATCCCTGTGTCCTTCATCTCTTTGAGAAAAAGGGGTATTTTTCTGCTTTTCTAAATTTGAGTAAAATAAACCCTATTTTTATAACTAAACGGTTCTAAATTTAGGGAAATGGAGCAAATTATGGTCTTTTCAGAAGGAACTGTTAAGTTTTTAATATTTCAGGTAATTTGGGGAAGACACTAAAATTTCTTTTTCTAGGACCATAGAATATAAAATCTTTTCAAAGTGAACCCTACCAACTAGTTTGTTTCCACTATTCAGAATTCCACGTACAGAAAGATGTATGGTGTATAGAGCAGTATTGAGAACAATTGAATCAAAATTTTGTATCCTCATCCACCAGTTAGACAACACTATACTTTTTTTTTTTAAAGCAGTGCTTTACGTTAAAAACTTTTATTTCTCTTAACTAGAATTATCTGTCAATAGGTAATTTGGATAGCTGTACACATAAGGATAATTTCCTACATTTTTATAGTATTTTACTGTATTTAAAGGGCAGCTAAGTGGTGCAGTGGATAGAGGACTGGCCCTAGAGTCAGGAAGATTCATCTTCCTGTATTCAGATTGGTCTCAGATTCTTATTAGCTATGTGACTGAGCAAGTCACTTAACCCTGTTTGCTTCTGTTTCCTCATCTGTAAAATGAGCTGGAGAAGGAAATGGCAAACCATTCCAATATCTTTGCCTAGAAAATCCTAAATAGAGTCACAATATACCATGAGTCCTTCAAACTGATCAGAATAAATGTCCTCTCTATACTTTACAGTTAAATTGTCTTGGACTAAAATGTTCACATTTACCATGTGGTCTCTCTTGGTACTTTCATGAGTGACTTTGTCCAAAGGTCCATTCTTCCTGACTTTCTTTGGACTTGTCTCTCTGCCAGTTTATATACAGCCATGAATTTCTCTTTGTCTTAGTAAATACAGGAAGTTACAACTTATTATTTCTTATCTGTCCATTAAATGACAAGGAAGATGGATGATAAAACAGTATTAGTATCTAAAAAGGCTGTTTATCCAGGGATTGAACAGTTTGATTACCTACTTTCATCCTTGTAGATATAAATATTTAAAGCTTATCCATTCATCTAAAAAAGGAATGACAGTTTTTGTTTTTAAAGAAATATTTTTTAACTCTGTTCATAAAATGAATTTTCCAGTGCAATTGCAATGGGTGATTACTGAGATAGTGTTGCTTGTGATTGAGAATTTTTTAAATGAGAAAGCTTATTAGGAATGAAATAATTAGCAAGCCTTTATTGGGGCATATAACCATAACCTCCATTATAGTTAGTAGCTTCTGGCGTGTCTCTTTGTATAAAAGCTTTTTTTGTTGTTGTTTTAAATTAAACAGAAGATAACTAGAAATGATTGGGCTTATTCATTCTGCTCTTTGGATCAACTTAATTAAATTTAGTCTAGATAATATATTTGTGGTTATCACTTGATTTTTCAGACCAAAAGGGACATCTCTTGTAAAATAGCATTTACTGGATTAGTAACATTTCTTTTTTTCCTTCCTTGTAAAGTTATTGGATTCTTTAGGATAGATCCTTTTTCTTTTTTCTCATAAATCTCTTGATATGCATCAGCATTCCTATTCAGCTATTAGGGCTGCATATGTTTTAACCTTTGATTTATCTGCCTTGACCCAAAAGCATCCTTTAAAAACTGTAACTTAGTATAAAATTTAATTAAAAATCTGAATAGTGTTAGTAACCAAATCCCATCATTAGGACTTCTTTTTACTTGACTTTATTTATAGATTATTTATTTTGTATAGTATTTTTGTAGATAATTTATACTATGGAAGGGAATTTTAGAAAGCAAGGGTTTCAGAATGACAGTATTTTAAAGGGAAGAGCATATGCTATTTCTGCTATTATTGGTTTCCCTGGTCAGATCCACAATATTGTTAAGTCTACTTATGATCTGAAGAACAAACTCCTTAAGGTTGAAACTTGTGGTATATTTATATATGTGCATTTTTTTCTGTTGTTTTTATAGAACCTACTGGCTTGGTGACATTTACAAGACAGAGTCTTCAAGATTTTCCAGAATGGGAAAGGTAAAGAATATTGCGTATGTTTATCATTAGTATCACCATTTAGTACATGGACTAAAAAAATGATTATCAAGAATCATAGAATTTTACAGCTACAAGGTCTCTTTACTTCCCCTCATGCCCACCCACATCCAACCCTTTATCCATTTGGGTTTCAGTTTCTGACAGTGGTAATATGTTTCACCTCCTAACAATTTCTAATGCCACAGTCCAAATTTAGACCTCATTGCCTCTTTCCTGGACTGTTGCAATCATGTCCTGATTAGTATTGCTTCCATTACTATTTCTGCCTACTACTGTATCCCCCATATTTTTCTCAGCTCAGAACTTTGACTATGTCATTTCCTTGCTAAAATATCTTGGCTTCCCAATTCCTTAAATTTAATTGTTCAGTCTTGTATTCAAGATCTTCCTATATCTGGCCCTAACCTTTCTTTCCAGACTACTCCCAAAATTCCTTTTCATATCCAGCTAAACTAGATTGCTCACTATTCCTGAAAATGCCTCATAATTTAATATTTCTCTATCTTTGCTCATGTGATTATTCCAATTGAAATGTAAACTCTCCCTTCCTTCTCTTCAAATTCCTACCTCTTTCTTCTTCAAGGTGCCTTCTCCTCTATGAAGCTTTCCATAATTCTCTAATCAGAAGTGTTATCTCCTTTCTCTAAACATCCATAGCGCCTTGGTGCTATCACGCATATAAGTCATTTGGCCTTGATCTAGACTGTAAGAACCTTAAAAATAGGGACCTGTCTGACTCATGTTTGATTGTCCAGAATTGCCTAGCAGAATAAATGTGTTAATTCAGTTATAAATATTAGATTTGGAAGGTTATCACTTAGCCTTTTACCCACTATTTTTATTTCAGTTCACAAAAGATTTATTAAGCCCCTTTAGATACTCATAATATAAAGACACAGTTAAAAAGCCCTCCCCTCCAGGAGCTTACATTCTTGGGATGGGAGGATAGAGGGGAAGAGAGAGTATTCCCTTTTTTAACTTCCCTGAAAGATAATCATCACACCTATGCTTGAACACCTCAAACAGCACCGAGCTCATTTTCTCATTAGGCAGCACATTCCATTGTTGGACAGTTCTAATTATTCTGTTTTTCTTCCTTTGAGCTAATAAGTAGCACCTTGTAACTTCTCCCACCTGCTGGTTTTAGTTCTGTCTCTGGAATGAATTTCTATTTAAAATTCTAAGGCTACCTATATGGAATGGAGCTAAGGGTAATGAAAGGGCTGTGCTACATGAGTTCTAAGGTGCAATTGTATTTGGAGAGTAGAATCATTTAAAATAAATATTGTAAAATGTAGTGGTACATACACACAGATATGGAGATGTGAATAAACCAAAACTTTAAAACTATTTCATTAACGATAAAGAGTATCTCTAGTGTTACTATCTTAATGTCTGTAATGTGTAAACTTCTATAGGCATTAAATTTACAATTATTATTGGACCGAAAGCTTACTATTTATTCCACCTAGTCCTGTGGCTATCACCATTATGCCTATGCCAATGCTTTTGGTTTACATAGTGCACTATCACCTATTTATATTAATTGAAGTTTACATTGTAAAATTAGCTCTTCATCATGTCACTGGCATTGCCCTCATTTATACTGCTTGGAATTGTGTGATGAAAGGGAATTGCTTCTCTTAGCAGCTGTCCTCTGCATTAGGATGGGGCACTTGAAGGACTAGGAATCCTTGCCAGCAGGTGGCAACACTGAGTTGGGTTTGAAAGAGGGCACTAGCTCAGCCGTGGTTGAGTAGTTGAAGTGATTAATAAAGTGGAGGAAATATTGAACAACCTTACAGGAAAAGGCAAGCTAGGTAAAATAAGTAAGGCATTTTAGAATGATAGTTGGGGTTTGAAAAGACCTTAGAGAACAGCTAGTGGAGTCTTCAGCTGAATGCACAGATCCTCTCTTACATTTCTGACAAATGACTTCTAGTCTCTTCTTGAATACTTCTGTTGATAAAGAGCTTATTGTACATGTGTATGCATATATACACATGCACATATGTAGGAAGGAACAGGCATTTATTAAACACCTACGATGTGCCAGACACTATTCTAAATTCTTTACAAATATCTCATTGGATCCTTACAACAACGCTTTTATTATCCACGTTTTATGATTGAGCAAATTGAGGCAGATCAAATGACTTGCTATTTATCACACAGCTGCTAAATGTCGGAAGTCAGATTTGAACTCAGTTCTTCCCTAATTCCAGGCCCAGCACCCTATCTGCTGCACCACCTAGTTATGCTGTACAGCTACATATGTGTATATATACATAGATATATGTACATTACGTGTATGCATACATACATACGTATTTGGGGAGACACAGAGACAGACAGACACAGAAGCTGCCTTATTAGTTTTTGAACTCCTTCAAGTCAGGGAATGTTCTTGCCTTTCTTTATATCCCAAGCACTTAGCACAGTGCCTAGCACATGGTAGGCACTTAATAAATGTTTGATTATGCACTTAATAAATGCTTATTGATTGACTGATAGGGTTTATGTACACACGTAGTAAAGCTGCTCATTTCATATGTAGGAATAGGGACTGACCTGTGACTTTCGTTGGTATAAGAATGCCTTAGGTGAGGAAACTCCTACTGTTCAGGTCAGTGCTTTCTCTGTAATGTGTATCATCTTAGAGAGTTGCTTAGGACACTGAAGTTGAGTGATGTGTTCAGAATCACACAATCAGAATCAGGACTTAAAGCCAGGTCTTCCTGACTTCTAGGCCAACTGTGTGTCCACTATGCCTTGCTACCGCTCATTCTTTCAATTTCATCACACACACACACACACACACACACACACACACACACACACACACACACACACTATAGACGCACATACACGCCTTATAAAACAGGCTATGCCATTTTGTGATAACTCTATAATTGTTAGAAATTTCTTTGTACACAGTGTTCTGAAAGGCTCAGTGCGGCAGTTCTCTGTTAGAACTCTAATAGCTGTATTTATCTGAAGTCCATCTCTATTTACCTTAAACCTCTTCCTAATTTTATTCTCTGCAATAACTCTAAATAAATCTAATCCATTGGTAGGCAGTCTAGTGTAGTGCAGAGGGGTCAGACACTCTCCCCAGAGAACTCTCCCCCATAACTGGAAAATGTTTAACAAAATTAATAAAAATACAATGCAACATAGATGTTAAATTATGTTTTCCTAAGTCAATATGTATCCCAGATCCATTTCTGTTTGAACCTGACACTACTGGTGTAATGGACAGAGTGTGGGACTTAGAGTTAGGAGACACTAGGAGAGGTCCAGCTTAATGGCTTTGTGTCCCTGAGCAAGAGACAGTCAGCCTGTCCAAGCTATCATTTCTTCATCTACAAAATGGGTGTAATTGTACTCGTACTAACTTTCTCACTGGGTTCCATATAAATTGTTCATCTGTGTAATGGCCCTTCAAAGGTTTGGGGACTGCTTTGTGATCCTGCCCCTTGCTTTCTCTAGACTAACCATCCTGAGTTAATGCAGCTGTTTGAGATCCTTCATTTCCTTTGATGCTTATTATTTAATCAGTGTCATTTCTAAAATGTCATTCCCAGAAAGGAGCCCAGCACTCATTGCAAGTTATGGTGGGAATATTTTCTTAGAGAGTTGTTGTGGTACAGTGGAGAGAGCACTGAGGCTTGATTCTGAGGATCTGAGTTTGAATCTTTGTGCTATCCCATGCCAGGTCACTGTGATATTGAACATATCAATTAACCTTCTCTGAACCTCAGTTTTTTCATTTAGAAAATGCAGGGGTTAAACTAAGTGATCCTGAGGTTTCTTCGGGTCTGCTTGTGCTCCTCGGATCATGTGAGCCTGGTTTTTCATCTCTAAGATGGGAAGAATAGTCAGTAAACCTCTCTGTAAACATTAAGTATCAATTATGTGCCAGGCATTGTGCTAAGCTACAAAAATAACAATCTATGGATGTAGTGAAGTGTTTCACAGATGTACAGAATTATGATTGTTGAAATGATTGGAAAAGTTCTATAAACATGAGAATCAGCCTACTTACTGAAATATGACTAAGCTGGGTTTTTTTGTTTGTTTGATTTTTTTTGGTTTAGGCAGTCAGGGTTAAGTGACTTGCCTAGGGTCACACAGCTAATAAATGTCAAGTGTCTGAGGCCACATTTGAACTCAGGTCCTCCTGACTCCAGGGCAGGTGCTGTATCCACTGTGTCACCTAGCTGCTTCTAGCATTTTTTTTTAAAGCTAGGTGAAAGAGTATAGTATAGGACTTTGCAAGTCCTAGATGCTTAATAAATATTTGACATTTTGGTTTGTGTATTAATTCTCAGAAATCAGTTCATAGTGATGATTTTTTAACTATTCCCATTGTAAAGATTGCATAGAACAGTTTACCTGTGAATGCTGTACATCATCCATATTTATGTCCGTGTGTATGTATATATAGATACAGATATAATTTTTATCTAAATTATACTTATTTGTAGAACAGTACTCAGCTGAGAGTGGCTTAAAAAAAATGACATTTTTGAAATAGAATGTTTGTTAAATAGCCAATATCTTAACTTTAAGTTAAATTCTGCTGTCTTAGTATAAAATTAAAATAGAGACTTATTAAGAAATAACAAATTGGCACAGACTAATTAGGGACATGGGGGAGCCTCTGTTGCTATTAAGTAAGTTGGGTATTCTGTCACCCAGGTGATACTGAAATGTGAAGAAGTGAGAAGGGTCCACTGTCTCCTCCCTTATCACCTTGTAGCAGGGGAGGAGAAGAAAGACAGGCATGCCAGAAATGGGTCAAGATAGCTGGCATCAGTGTGGCAGCAAAACTTTCCTCTGAGAGCACATTTACTCAGTTTGCCATTGGGCAGATCTTGTAAGATTTCCTTCTGGACTAATAGACCTCTCTTCACTTCATAATAGAAGATTTAACTTTAAACATTTGAAGATTATGCTTAAGATTATACATCTGAAAACTTTTTTTGTTAATTGGCCTATTCAGCACTCTATCCAATTTATAAATAAGGCACAGAGAGATTAAAAGACTTCACAGTATGCTGAATCAAAATTGGTATTCCCTTGCAAGTGTCATGGAGCAAGTGTTGATTGTTAATGGAGTAGAGGAGAGGGGTGAAGGTAGCTGCTTATTAAGTGTAAGACTTTTTCCCTTTTGAACATAAGTAGATGATCAAGTTGGTGGTGGGTGGGTCAGGATCAAGTGAGGAGAGAGGTGCTGATAGATAGTTGGGGCCCCACAAACAAACATAATATCATGGATTTGGAGCTATAGGGAAACCTAGAGATTATCTGATCCAGCCCACTTATTTTACAGGTGAGAAAACTGAAGCCTTGAGATTTTAGGAGAATTGGTAGCAAATGGTAAAATTGATAAGAGCTAGAATTTGAACCTAGATTCTCAAACTCCAATTCCATCTCTTCCTACTACACTGTGTTATTTTTGTCAACATCACAGTTTTGGGGATTATCAACCCTAGCCTTTGAAAATTGGTGACACAGCTGAAATTAATATTCTAATGACCTCATGATATCTATTAGTCTTGTTTGTTGTGTATTGTAAGGGCTTAGTTACTGACTGTCAGTTAATAAACATTTATTAGGCACATACTATATGCCAAGCAGAAGATTAAGTGCTGAGGATGCAAAGAAAGGCAAAAGACAGTCCCTGCCCTCAAGGAGCTTACAATCCAATGGAGGAAACAACATGCAAACATCTATTGACTTTGAAAATGTCATCAGTTATTTTTCATTCAGCTAGTCAAGTCATCAGGCATTCATTTGTGCCTGCTATGCAAGGCATTATATTTGATTCTGAGAGAGATTTGAGGCTTTGTTAAAATAGACCCTGACATCATGGAGCTTACAGTCTAGTTAGGAATATGACGCATATAGATGGTTGTAGCATAAAGTAGTATGTTGTGAGTATATAAATAAGACCAGAAAAAAGTGTTAGGTAATCTAGGATATGCCAGAACCAGTTCAAACCAGCTCATACCAGCTCACAAGAGTTGATGTTAAATTTTCAGTGTGAACATTTGCACCTCAGAAATTGACAAAGGTTGCAAATCAACCTGCTTTATTGTTTTGTTGATTGTCTAGACTAAGGAAGTAATGGAAGAAATGTTAATGCATATTAAACTTAAAGATGTGTCTTGTACACATTTTTTTAAATTTAGGGAGAGCTGATTGTTAAATATTAACCAGCATACCCCAAAGTGAGGTCCAGGTTGGGAGCAAGAGTCATTACTGATTTGGATCAGGGAAAGAGAGAATCAGGGAAACCTTTTTGGAGGTGTTAGCATTTCAGTTGAACTTTGAATGATAGGTAGGAATTGGTTCTTATGTATAAAATGATAGGATTTAGAACTGAAAGGGAAATCAGAGATAAATTCGTTTAGTCTCATTTTACAGATGAGAAAATAGAATCTTGGAGGTAAAGATTATATGTGTAATAAGTAACATAGCAAAGGTATTGGTCCAGGCTTTCTGATTCCTAACATGGGAGGCAACGAGGTGTATGGCTCTGGAGCCAAGGGAAATGAGCTTAAGTCCTATGTCTGGTGATCACTATTTGGGTGACTTTGGGCAAGTCATTTATCCTCACTGAGTCTCAGTTTCCTCTTCTGTAAAATGAGTGGGGTGGACTAAATGCTCTCTAAAGTCCTTACAGCTCTAGATCTGTGATTCTGGTGCTTTTTATTACACCATGCCTCCCTTAATCATTACAGTATGTTGGCTTTTTAATATCTTGTGCTAAGGTAGTCTATTTCTCTTTATCATAACTCATAGTTTCCTAAAGAAATGGAAAACAGAAAAAAATAATATTAACATGTGGTGAATTCAAACATCTTTGGTTTTAATTTAAATTCAGCCTAGGTAAACATGTCAGTGACTGTTCTTTATGAAAGGGGAGAATGATTATGTTTTCTGGATGACTTAAAGGCAGTAAGTCAATTTAACAACCTTATGAATAAAAGAATACAGTAGATCAGAATTTCTGTAGCCTTTATTTTCACCAAAAAGAAAAATATAATTAACAAACTAATGAAAAGAGAGCCACTGAGAAAATCATGTGGGATTTATTGAGTCTCCCCACATATACTGTTTGGCTTGTTTAAAAAAAGACAAAAACATGGTAGTAGGCCCTTTGTATTTAGTGAAAAATTCTTCCACAGACTTAAAGGAAAATCTTTTTAATTGTAGGTGTGAAAAAAAATTAACTCGGTTACACGTAACTTATGAAGGTACCATAGAAGGAAATGGACAAGGCATGCTACAGGTAGGTGAATAATAACAGAAATGGGTCTAAGTCCCTCTCTGTTGGTGGACTTCAGAGAGAGAAGGAATTTTGCCCTCTTTTCTGTATAGCCAGAGTTGATTTTCAGTTTGTGAAACATAATGACTGAATAGAAACAACAAAATGAGTCATTTTGACAGCCTTTATAATGTTGATACTGGCCAGATCACCCTCTGTGTTTCTCATCTGTGCCTATTCAGAAAAACCTTTGACAGAAAACCCAGATCTGGGTAGCCTTTGCCTCTCAGTGCAGACAGACGCTGATTGTAGACTGACAGCGGTGGAGTTTCTAGGGTATAATCTTGACAAGTTGTCAGCAAGCGGCTTCTTTTTCTTTTTTCTCCATAGTTGTTCTGCCCTAGATGTTGACCAGATTGAGATGCTCCTCTGCTGCCAACGGCTGTGGTTTGTTCTGAGAGCCAGTCAACTAAAACAGATTGATAAGGGGGACCTCTCTCCCCTATCTAGCAGTAGTTTATTTTGAGGCAGTGTGCATATTTTTCTCATTGATGTCATTTTTCTTTTTTTTAGAGACATTGATTTAGTTTATTTCACAGTCATTATTCCCATTCCTTTCCACTATGTTATTGTCTTTTCTTTGGGAAAGGAAAATTGCAAATCAGAACTCTCCATGTACTTTATCATTTTATGACATCATCAGTGAACTTTTCATTTGTAGTAACCTTTTTACAGTCTCACAATTGGCAGATGAGCCATGTGTTTTGGCTTCTATTCCCCACATCCAGTAGAACGTACATTAACATTATCACAGAATCTCAGAGTTAGAAGGGCCTTCAGAGGCCATCTAGTCCAAATCCTACTAGAACAAGAATCCACTCTCTTAGGTACTTGACAAGTGTTCAGTGTTATGAAAGGGACTGGTGAAATAGTGCAGTTTTACAGTAAGAGGGCTGAAATTTTGTGACATGCTTTTTGAGGGGTGGGAAAGTGGATGTGGTCTTACATTGGCTTAATTTAACCGACTAGTACAGGTTGATATTTGAGTGTTACTTAATGGCTTTATTAAGGGTCCTAATTCTTTTGTGTTCCTTTTCTAGTTATTATGTATTTTTGCTCAGAAGGTATGATGAAACTGTGGTTATTTTAGAATGGCCTTTTAGGATTAATTAAAATTAATATGCTGCTAGGAGGGAAATCATGTTCAGTTTTTAATCACTTTTTCTTCTTCTTTTGCCCAACTAGCAGTTATAACAATCATAATCATAGGAAACATTTATATAGTGCTTACTATGTGCCAGGTATCGTATTAAGCACTTTACAATTATTACCTTATTTGATTGTCACATCAACCCTGGGAGTTAGGTACTTTTATTATCCCATTTTACAGATGAAGAAAATGAAGCAAACAGTCACACACTGTCACAAAGCTAGGAAGTGATTTGGTCTGAATTTGAACTCATATCTTCCTGATTCCAGGCCCAGTGCTCTATGCACTGTACTGCCTAGATGCCTGAGCTAATATTTGGGATGTAATTGAATCTCTTAGGAATTCCTTTTTTAAGTGTTTATTTGCCCACATAGCTTATCCTCCTTTCTTGACCAGGTTTAATTATTGATTCTAAGTTGATACTCATTATTACTTGCCCTGCACATCACCCTTTCCCACCCTTTTCTTAGACTATAATCAACCAATAAGTGTTTATTAAGTGACTGCCATGTGCAAGGCACCGTACTAGGTGCTGGGGATACAGAAACAAATGTGCACTATCTGTCCCCTCTAGGAGCTTATGGTATTAGAGGCTATAGCTTGTTCCCACATAAGACCTAAAAGATATATACAAATTGAATCCAAAGTTATTGGGAAAGGAGGATACCAACAACTGGGGAAGTCAAGAAAGCCATCTTGATGGGAGCAAAGGATTCTAAACAGTGGAGTTGAGGAAGAGTGTTTCAAGCATGGGGGCACAGCATGTGCAAAGGCATAGGGGTAGAAGATAGAACCTTCTGTTGGGAAACTGCAAAGAGGCCAGTGTGACTGGAGTATGGATTGGGGGGATGGTGATTAATATGTTATCCCCTTTGGAGAGATAAGCTGAAGCTAGATTATGAAGGACTTTCAGTGTCAAGCAGAGGAGCTTATATTTAATTCAAAAGGCGGTGGGAAGCCATTGAATCTTCTCTAGTAGGAGAATAACAGGGTCAGACTCGTGTTTTAGGAAATCCATTTGGTAGTCATATGGAGATTGGATTAGAGCAGGGAAAAGCTGGGTTCAGGGAACCTGAGGAGAAAAGTGATAAGGGATTGAGATGGGGTAAGAGGAGTAAAGAAGAAGGGGAATGATGTGAGAGCTACCTAACAGGTGGGCTGAACAAGGGGAGGGAGCAGCTGAGGAGAGAATTGAGGATCACACGATCATAGATGTAGAACTGGAAGGGCCCTTGAAGACTATCAAGTTCAGCTCGATCATTTTATGGCATAGAGAGCTGGCTCACAGAGCAGTTAAGTGATTTGACACAGGCGATAAGTATCTGAGGTGGGATTTGAACCCAGGTCTTGCTGACTTCAAGTCTAGTGTTCTCTATGTCTGTCTTCTGCATAATGCTGCTCTCAGTTAACCTAGGATTTTCAAACCTTGAGTCATTGGGAGAATGGTAGTGCCCTAATCAGAGAAATTAGGAAGAGAAAACTTGGTTAAGGGTGAAGATAGTGAATTCATATTTTTCGTTTGTTTGCTTTTTGAGTTTGAGATATTTTTGGGACATAACAGGTAGAATATGCAGTAGGTAATTGGCGGTGTAGGACTTAGAAGAGGGAGGAGGACTAGATTGATAGATTTTGTAGTTTGCTGCAAAGAGGTGGTAACTTCTATCCACAGGAGCTGATAAGATTTCCAGATCATCTGGAGAGAAAAAAGAAGAAAACCCAGAATAGAGCCCTGCAGAACCATCACACACAGGGTGTGGAGCATGGATGATGAGCTTGTAAAGCAGACTGAGAAGGATTGTTCTGACATCTAGAAAGAGAACTACAACAGAACAGAATCATGAAATACCATGGAGGAGAATTTAGAGAAGGAGGGAATGGTCAGTAGTGTTAAATGCTGCAGAGAAGTCAAGAAGGATGAGGACAAAGAACAGATTGTTGAATTTAGTAGTAAAGAGATTAGTGGTGATTTTAGAGCAGTTTCTGTCAAGTCGGGGGGATGGAAGCTACATTTCATGAAGTTGGGGAGTGAATGAGAGGTGAGAGTGAAGCCAATAAGTATAGACAGTTGATTGTCTAAAAGGATGAAAAGGTACAGACTAATAGCTTTTGAAGGTCTAAGGAAGGTATTTTAAGGATAGAGGAGATCTGGACATGTTTAAAGGCAACAGGAAGGAGCCAATGGATATAGAGAGGATAAAAATTAAGGATAGCATGATTAAAGGGATACACTCCCAGGGAGGCAAGAGGGGTGAGATCAAAGCCGTAATGAGAGGAATTGGCATTGGCAGGGGGAAGAGATCCCTCATCATCTGAGACTGAAACAAAGAAGACGAGGAAGAGGATTCTATGGTGCTTAGAAGTATGACTTCAAGAAGGAGGAGGAGGAGCTTCAGTTTTCTTCAGTTAAGCTGAGATGAGGTCTTCTGCTGAAAGGGTGGCTGATGGGTAATGTAGGTGTCACAAAGAGCGAAGTTTGAAGTAGATGCTGTGAGGAGCATGAGAGAGTCATCAGGGAAGAGTAGAATGATTAATGGGCATCAGTGAAGGCCAAGGTGAAGTTGGCTAACATTAATTTGTAGTGGACTTGGGCAGCAGAGTACAATAACTTCCTCCCTCTGTGTTTAGCACTCCATGAGAGAAGTGACTACCATACTGCAAGTAGAGAAGGTGGATGGATAAAGGGGTAGTCCAGAGTTGGAGTTTGGAAAGGAATGAATGACCATAGGGCAGTGGGGTGAGGGATTCAATAGCTGAAGATGGTATAAAGTTTAAGTGGTTAATTAAAGGGTCAAGATTTTAACAGATAAGTGAGGCCAGAGCAGATGTGGTGCATGGCCTGGGGAGATCCTGATTTGAGTGGTAAAAAAAGATGAAAGAAGAGAGTTGGGTTATATTCAGGGGTATGAGGTTCCTTTAGTAGGCATTCCACTTGAAATAAGTGACGCAGTTGCAAATTAGCACCCCAGGAATGCTGACCTTTTATTGCAGTACAGTTCAAAGAGGAATTATTTAACATTTGGAGTTGGGATTTTTCCCTTTTCCTTGGAATTTATTAAAGATGAATGAGTGTTTGGAGCTCACGTGAGAACCTAAACTGAAATGAAGGTAGATTAAAAGAATGGCCTAAATTCTTCTACCACTGCTAATTGTTCTCCCTCCCACCATGCCCCAGGAGACCAGGGGAGTTTTATACGTCAGTAGAAGAAACCTTCTTGTATTTTGTATAAATTGCATTTAGCTGAATGACAATAACAACAAAACCTCTCAGCAATATTGTCACTCCTTTCATTTTCTTAAGGTATAATTGACAAGCTAAAAAACTGAACATGTTTCTTTAGAGTGGGAAAATAGCTCACTACCCGTATGTAAGTACTCATACTTTCTTGTGCTGTACGTATTCCTGAATTAGAGGAACCTCACATTAATATAGTTTTCATAAGGAGTAGAAAGTGTCTTTAAAATTATTTTAAGAAAAACCAGTTATCAGACCTATTGTGTTGAGTGTGGTGCAGAATTAGACATGCTGTTGTTTTACTCAAGGAATGAACAATGTATATCTTAATTTTTTTTTGTCAATTTGTACTAAAGTATACTCAGCTTGGTTGTAAACTTCTGTTTCTGACAGTCCTGAACTCTATTCTAATAAAAGCAAAATTTAGTCCTCACCAGGTAGTCATAGTCAGACAATATTAGTCATATAGAGAAAGCTGGCATCTTGTAAGTGAACTATAAACGCTTTTTGATTGGTACAAATTAATATTTACGAGAAGGTTCAATAAATGCTAGATACTTCATTTCAGCAGTGACTTAAAACATTAGAGGAAAAATGTTTTTGCCATTCCTCAGTCGCTAAGTTGGTTTGTTCCTTCACAAACCTTTTTCCTCTGAAAACAGAGATTCAAGGTTTTATTCTACTATTTAAAAAAAAACTTAAAATTTTAATTTTATTTTATATTGCTTAATAGAACAGAAAAAAAAACCAAAAAAAATTATACCTTCTATCTGAAGGCATGTTGAAATGGAGATGATGATGACGATGACAATAATGATAACAATACCTTCCTCCTAGGGTTGTTGGAAGGATAAAATGAGATAATATTTGTAAAGTCCTTTGCAAACCTTAAAGCACTGTATAAATGCCAGCTGTTGTTATCTATGAATACTACCAACAACTAGAATTATCTTTGATTTAATTTGAAGAAGGACATAACTCAGGTTTGTTCAAGGTTTTTTTGAATATCATTCCCATAAAAGTTCCATGAACTGCCTTAAAAATAATGCATTTGGTTTTTGTTTTGACAGTAAATGGTTTCTTCATTCTTTGGAGGTAGGAGGTAGTTAAGGGTTTGTAACATCCATTCAAACTCTGGTTTCTTAGGTTATATTCAGAAAGGCAAAAATTCCTCTTATAAGATTTTCTTACAGAACAAACATGAAGAAAATTTGATCATGGAGTTAAAAGTGCTGTAAGACAAGGAGGCATTTGATTGCTGTGTTTGATTACACAAAGCTATAATTTATGAAAGTCATATAAAACATGTACAGGAAAATGGAGAAAAAAAGGTCGATATAAGAGTACAAATACCTATACTTAACCCCTGCAGAAATAAAGCTTTCCAGTTAAAGTACCCCCTCTATATATTGTTCCTGGGGCTCAAATAGAGGCATATAATAGAGGCTGTGTTATAGATTGGAATTTTTAGCTTAGCTTTCAACTCCATGATGGTTTGGGATCCTGAGAACTGAACAGGTAAGTTAACTAATCAAAATGAAAGAGAATATGCTTACTTAAATCTTCTGTAAAAACGCTTCCTCCTTTGATGCTTTTTGCAATATTTCCTCCATGGTCAAATTTATGGTTCAGAAGTTTTGTTTTTTTAGGAGAGATGAGAAGGAAATTGGTCCATAGAGGCAGTTTATTTAATTAATGTGAATTTTGAGGCCCTTATATGCATACAAAATTAACTGCCTTATTCCTAATAGGTGGATTTTGCTAATCGCTTTGTTGGAGGGGGTGTAACCAGTGCAGGGCTGGTACAGGAAGAAATCAGATTTTTAATCAACCCTGAATTGATTGTCTCACGACTCATCACAGAGGTGCTGGATCACAATGAATGTCTTATCATCACAGGTTAGTGCTAGACAGACTCTGCAAAGTCTTTATGTGATGCTTTTCACTTTTCATGAAGACCTGCTACAAAGAATAGAGATAAAAGTCTGGTTTGTAACTGCTTCCTGCCATTGGCATGAGGCTATTCATCCTTTATTCATAGCCTTAGACTTTTGAGCTTTGAAAATTGTTACAATCTTTATTGCAAACCTTGAATAAATCATTTGAGTTAACCCCTTTCTGAACTTTTCTCATTTAAAGAATTACTATAGCATAGTTTAGTTATATTTAGAGGTTTGAGCATTAGTAATAGGATGTTATAAATTACCTGATGTTCTTGTAAGAAATGAGTAACATATTTAGAGGTTCGATTGTCAGCCTGTGAATGTGTTAATTACCTAGTTAATTTTGTACCTAATCCCAGGTGATATTGAAAGATATGTAAAAATTCCAATATTTGAAAAGATTCAAACAGTTTTATATGGCAGATTCAAGAGGCACAGGTAATAGGCCAGTTATGTTTTTTTTTTCCTTCTCTTATCCCCAAATTCAGGTATTTATTTATCTTTTCTTGGTTAAAGAAAAAAGCATGTATTTAAAAGTATAGTAATACATTTATATTTGTGTAATTATGGGGCCAAAAACATTTAGCCAGGTTTATGTTTTAGGTCAAAGGTTAAAAATTATCTAATACTTTGATTTTAAATAATATTTTATTATCCATTTAAACCTCTTTTCAAAGGAGATGGTCAATATATCATGGGATTTTGGAGGGGGTGTGTGTGAATTATCTATTAAAAAGTGAGTAACTGCTATCTGACAAGACAAGTAAAAGTCGTTTATTACTTAAGAGTTCCTAAGAGACTTCTGACTATCCACCCTAGCTGTTTTAAGCCTTTTACTGAAGATCATTGTAAAAAACAGTCAAGTAAAAGCCATAATCAGTCACCATTAGTTGATATTTCTATTTTCTATAAAAGCAGTTTTCCAGTTTCTTCTGGAATCCATCCCATTTTACCAGATTAGATTTAGGAGGCTTAACAATTGCCTTAGGACAAAAATTAGTTTATTGTTACTTCCACCAAGCACAATGAGAGACAGCCCCATCCCCTGGAGAGTTTGTCTGAGCATGAATGGAGCTGTTTCCAAAGAAGAAAGCTGAAAGACTGAGGCAAAACCAATCCTACACTAGTAGAGGATTGGCTTTGGAACATTTTATATTGCAGATAGCACTCCCAAGACCGTGTTAAGCCACAGATGCATCTGTAGTTAGCGCTCAGGGGAATTATTTTGACTTTCTCTAAATTCCGTTCTCTTTTTTTTCCCCTTTTTTTTGGTCATCTGAAAAACACCTGATGCCCAAAGGGTTTTGTCCTAAGGTGCCCAATATCATTTTGGTGACCACTGTGAAATTATTTTTCAATTATTACTTCCATTCCTATGAAATCTTTTGTAGGACCCTGTTGTGCACTGTCATATATTGTGGGAAGAAAAGGAAATGAAGTGACTTGCCTAAGGTTGGAAAAGAATGTCAGGGTGGTCTACTCTTAGAATTTGCATTGTATTTACTGGACCTCCTTCTTCTCCAGTGGTACTCCTACTTTGGTAAAAGTCTTGTCTCTTAGCAGAGTATGTCTTGAAATAGCTTTACCAAAGTTCTTTGGGATTAAAGAGAGTCTAGATAAGGAGAATGGAAGTTTACCAATGCTTAAATCATGCTTCTTCAACCTGTCTTATCCACATTTGAGCTACCCCCTAGGCTTCATGGCCTATTTTATGTGGATAATATGGGGATCTACCTGTCTATAAGTTGAAATGATGTAGGTAAGAAGGAGGAAAGCATGAAGGAAGAGAAAGTAAGAAAATCAAGAAGTTGATGTTTGTTCATTGAATAACTAAATACTTTGAATTTCTAGCATGTCCTGTTACAAGGAATGTAAAGAACTGCCAACCTGAAAGCTTTAGCTGAGTAGAAACTTTTTTGCGTCAAATATTTTTTTAAAATTAGTGTCTGGGGCACGTCAGTCTTTTTGTTTATGTGGGTATTTTCGTTATTATAGCGTTTCATTATCCTGGGATTTCACCTGTAGACCAAAATTTTTTAGATTTTAATTACTGTTGAAGGTGAATTTATACCTCATGAACCTATTATTTTGTTTGCGTCGCTCATACATAAGCCCTTCACCCCTTAGATGGTTTTCATGAATTGCTGTGGCTGAAAAGTTCATCACCTTGCAGCCAGTCTTTTGGTGAGAGTCTCTCCAAAAGTAGCTATGCTTGGCTTTGAATGCTTAGGCTTGTGAATTCTTTCTAGCTTTGTAGAACCGAGCAGAGCCTTCAAACCGTTAAAATATGCTCCAACAACGTAGCATTATAATGAGGCATTAGAAGGAAGATTTCATAAAGGAACATAAATGTATATTCGTGTATTAATGATTTTGTTGGTAAAATGTTAACTATTTATGCACAGACATAGCTTAACTTTTTGTGTCATTTCATTTGGTGTAGGTATGTAACAAAAATCTTAGAATGACAGGGATTGTCTTCCAGTAATAATTTTGTCAAAGATATGATTTCTCCTATTAATGTTTTAAGAAATAATGAAAAACTTTTCCACATTTTGAAGATGAGTTGAACTTGACCACCATTACATGTAGTGTAAGGGGTCTCTGGGGAGTTATGTTAGGTTTCTATTTTAGCAGTGGTTTTATTAAACAAGTAGTAAGTTTGCAGAGCTGCTAAGATGCTTACCTTCTGAGATCTTGGCACTGTTAGCTAAGGACATGCCAGGGTGACTTTTTACTCAGCACATTTTTTTCAAATCCACTTTACTTTATTATAGTGCCGTCTAATTAATATCTGTGATGTGATGTTCCCTTAATGGAAATGGCCATTTCATCATCCATATTTGATCCCTGGCTTTCAGCCATCTCGCTGCTTAGGAGTCTTAACCATGTGCCACAATCTATCTGCCTGATCAATTACATTCCTTCAATGATGTATCTTGACTCAGTGGGCTAATGGCTGTGACTGTGCTGCTTGAATTTGTAGAAGAGTCTGAGAAATTGGAAATAAATTAAATTTGACATCATTGTGGAGCATCTGGTTGGCATCAGGCTTTTTAATGAATATGAAACAGGTCAGGCAAACAGGCAAATGCTGCTTTCATCCAGACAGTGTTATCCTTTTAGAGACGTGAGGTGGATGTTCAGAGATACCAAGGATTTTTTTTTAATGGTCTGTGTGTGTGATTTTCTTTTAGTTGCTATTATCTTATTTGTTATGGTTTCTCCTCAGGATGACCATGAGTATTAATTAAGAAAACATTGATTTAGGGAAAAGGGCTCAAATTTCACATCGTTTTTGTGTGATGAACAATAGGGAGCAATAGGTAGATACATGTGTAAGTCCTTTCAAGTGACTATACTCACAGAACTTTTCCTTCCTCCCATATTCCCTTCTGTAATATCTGCCCTGATGCTCAAGTGCCATCAGGTCTTAAGAGTTGCACCTTGATGGGTATTCTTTTGTTTCTACCTTGTTAGCATATAAATCAGGTACTTGGATACCTTAAAGCTTTTTAAGTCAAGTAAAATGCTGATCATTTAATGGATGGGCTGTCTGCTGATAGAACAGACAGTCCCAGAAAGCACAAAATTCAACACTATTTCAGCAAAATTGCCAGAGAAACTACTTGAATACAAACACTTACTGCTCTTCTGAATGTCACCAATATTATTACTTCAGCAACTCATTCTCTTTTTTTTTTGGCAGTCACTCTTTTTTATTGCAATAATTAAGAACAGAAAGGTTTTTCTCTCTCTTCCTCCCTCTTCCTTTCCCCTTCTCCTTTCACTCCACTCTTCTTGGATCTCTCTTCCTCTTCCTTCCTACCTCCTTCCCCTCCCCTTTCTCTCTCTGACCCACACACGTACATAAAAAATTATGATTTAATAATAATCAAAGTGGCACTTTGTTAATTTTAAAAGTACCCTACTTCATTGTTCCATGAATGTTTGAATTATATTTCTTTCATATCAGCATATTCCCAAAATCTTGGCAATGTCAAATAGCATAAAAATGATCTAAGTCAAAACAAAGTAGGAGATCAACCTCTCAAGTTTCTTGGTCCAAATCCCTCACTTTTCTCATCATTTTTGGGCAGTGTTTTCTAACCTTATCTTAAAGCCTTGACTCAAGATATGAGAGCTTTCATCATCATTATCAATATAAATTTTACTGGTAAAAATTAACAATTTTCATATAAGGCATGTTACCAAAAATGAAACTTTTTGTGTGTGTATTTTTTTTTCTGTATTTCCCAATATATTATTTTTTCTCTGGTTGTTAAGAACTCCATTTTCTGTCATAATAGGAAGTGAGAATGCTTCTTCCTAAAAATTAATGGTTCCTTTGGGCTTCATGGAAAAAAAATCATCCATGGTATAATTCCTTATTTCTAGGTTTCTGATGGTCTTTAAGGTGTTTATTCATATAAAAAATCTTGTCTTGGTAGCTGTGAAATTTCTTCTGCAATTACGCAAGTCCTGGAAAAAGCTTTGAGCAAGGTCATTCAGGCCCCTTTCTTATTTTAGCTCTTACCCACACATTTTCACCCGACTTTACTTCATCAATAAATTTGAATTTTAAGCAACTTGAGAACAGCTAGTATGCAGTGGACAGTCTGCATAATTTGAAAGGTGCTTAAATAGTCGAAGAATTTAATTTATTTAAATCAAAAACATTTATGTATTCATATTTTGATTTCTCACATCACTAGGAAATATATCTTAACATTATTTCTTTCAGTAAGGAAAAAATGAAATTGGATCCTAACCATGAGACACAGAAATGATCATTTGTAGTGTTTTGGGTTCATACCATGTTTTTAATTTTTAAGAATTTGGCAAGTATCAATTTTCCCTGTTTGAAGCTCTGACTAGAAACTGTTTTCCACTTGAAGGTAGAATCTAAGGAATCTAGAACAGCTAAGTGACTTGTTGAACACCAGACAAAAATGTGGAACAGTGCCCCAGGATTTTATCACCTTTGGTTTCTGGTTCTTAATCTGGGCAGTGGAATTTATTTCTCAGATAAAGGGAGATACCTTCTGCTACTTTAACTTTTTGATAATAAATTTAGAGAAATTGGAAGCATTGAGGACTGCAAAGTGAGTTTTCTGTGTTAATTTAAAAGTGCTATGAATTTATTTTAAAAAATCATAAAATCTTGTTTTCATTAGCTCATTGAGTAGAACTGTTCCCTTCTAACCCTTTTTGGCTATTAAGTCTGTCTAACACATCTCTTTTCTTGATTCTTAAGAATTCTCTTCTTAATTTCTTGATTGTTTTCTTAGTTCTTGTGAGAACTTGTCAGAAATTCTTAAACTCTTTATGTGACCTAAACAAAATACAAGTTCACCTCTGTTAGGCAGCGTACTTTGCAGCCTGAAAACTCTAGAGATATCAAGTCCAGATTCCATTCTGCTAGACTCTCTAGATGACTTTGATTATCACAGCAATCATCCTGTTACTTAACCTCAGTTAACCTGTGTCTTGACAGGCATGTCAGAGAATTCTAATCAAACAAACGTTGAGTTAACCTGACCTCAGAAAAACTAAATGTTTGGTCTTTATCTTGGATCCAGTGGTCAACATGTCAGAATTATCTTTTTAGTCCTTTCTCTTTTATTTGTCCTTTTTTTGCTATTGTGGGGTACGACGTTTCCTGCATCTTTCAAAAATGTATTTACCATAAATGTTTCCTCTAATTGCACCTTAATTCTCCAGGTGAGAAGGGACCTTTTTCAGGTTTTCAACGTGCTCTGAACAATAATTTAATAAAAGTATCTGAGGCACCTAGGAGATTCGCTCTCTTTCCACCTGATATGTGGGCGTAATGTCAAGACAGTTGGGCTCAAATATCTTCAACCTTCCTCTGTAACTCTTACTGTTGCCTTTATTTCTTTTCTTCTATTTTAAAAAAGAAATATATAGCATAGGAAAATACTTTGTCAAAATTACTCTCTTGTTTAGAGTTTTCAGCTTTTCACTGGTGCAGTACATTCTAATTTTATCCTGAAAAGTCTGGTGATTTTTGAGTTATCTATAGGAGCTAGAGCAAACAACATAATTTTTAAAATTAAATAGCGATACATCTGTGACTCCAACCCCAACCCAAGTTAATTATTTATTAATATATTGTAGGAGGGGCCAGTGATAGTTATAATTAAATGAGTGTTAATTTGTACTATTTTGTGTTTTTCCTTCCCTGTCTTCTCTTATGTGATGAATTCTTGGCTTTTCAAAGGCCTCCTAAAGTACTTTGCCTATTGATAGACAACTCCAAGAGTTAATAATAATTTAGCTTTTCTTAGCAAAGAATATATTTTTTAATTTCTTATTTTTTAAATCTTCAGGTTCCCTGCAATTAAAGTAGGAGAAATATGCTTATAAAAGAATGTCTTGCTAGTTATTCCTTACCAAAAGGAAGGAGTTGCAAGACAGTGAATTTTCATCTTTGTTGAACAAGCAATGCAACCTGTTTGTGCCCTTTATTTATATAGGTAATATAAGCAGAAGTGTTTCGGTGTGTTTTGTTTCTTTTCTTTATATTTATTTGTCTTTAAGGGTAAAGAAGACTGTCTATAAAGATCTGATTTTCTTTTAAAATTTGCTTTTGCCAATGAAAAATATCCAGGAAGAAAGAATAAGTTTATTAACCAAACTCCCTTAATAAATAGGAAGGACAGTATTAAAACATCATGTGAAAGTATAATAACAAATTAATTATTTCAGGTACTGAACAGTACAGTGAATACATAGGCTATGCAGAAACATACCGTTGGGCCCGAAGCCATGATGATAAGAGTGAAATGTAAGTCTTGCTATACATTTCTTACTTTATGTGTGGTGGTTACATAGTTGACAGAATGAAAGAAATAAATATGAAAGTTTTCCTATGACATTCCCAGCCTCATAGACTGCTTTATTTGCATATCTATGTGTTTTAATCTTTTATATTTCAGCCTGGATGTAAAAACAGATGTCTCATCTTCCAATGAAGGGGAGGAAAAGCAGGGAAGATAATAAATTAAACAAGGACCTTAAGCAAGGAAGAACTTATCCTTATTAGCACAGAAGGAATAGAAATATCTAAGTGTAGTTAACTACCTGTCTATCTCAGATTCCTAAAAATGGTGAAGAGGTGTTCTTAAAAATCAAAGTGCTTTGCCAGCTTGTTAATCATCGCAACTCTTCTATGAAACTGGCAATTTCTCAGTCATTTCATATTTCCATGTGGAGAATACTGAGAAGTATTTGCCCCAAAGCACATACGTTTGATGACCAAGTCTCAGTGGACTTGTTTTTATCCCATTCTCTCTCAAAATCAGCGTTTGAAATCTTGGATACTTTGTGCTATTTTACCCATCTGGGCCATGGACTCATTCATGATATAGTGTCTTAGGTTGGTTCCATTGAATATACAACTGTATCAACTTTAATTAGGTATAGTTTTATAAAATTGTATTATTGTTTAGATTTACCTTCTTTTAAATGTTAAATGTTATTTGTGATGTAATTACAAACCAAACAGCTTTATATCCACATGAGAAGTAAATTCATAGTATTTAGGACCAGAAGGGACCTTGGAGGCCATCTAATCGAACCCCAACCCCTTTGTTTTACGCAGCAAAGAAGTGAGGTCCAGAGAGGTTAAGTGATTTGCCTGTAGTCATTCATTTGCAACAGACCTGAACTGGGATTTAAACTGTGGTTCCTAGATTCCAAATTTAACCCCTTTGTCATGGCTAAATAGATTTTAAATGTATTAATATATAAAATATGTTTAATATATTATGTATTAAATATATTAAATAATATAAATATCTATGTATTTTAGAAGATTCTAAAAATTTCTCAACTAGTTCCTTCTGGTCTTGACGTGATGAATATTATTATCTGTGTTGCTGTCATCTGTTTGGAAAATTGTTTTTTGTTGTCAATATGGCAAATGAGTACATGAGTAAGAGTATCATACTGAATTGTTTATGTGGTTTTGTATAACACTTGTATTCTTAGAATAATCTTCTTTGCAATAGGTAGTAATATTACAAACCCAGTGCTGTAAGGCTTCTAAAAAGAACCCTATGAATTATCTTGGCATAGGAGAAAGGAGTACTTGTTAATACCAGCCAAGTCCTTCCTGGCCATTGAGTGTGCATATCTGTTACCAGGGTATTGTTTTAATTTTCTTGAGGTGGGGAGTGGGGGGAGTTGAGAAGGAGAGAAAAATCATTGCTTGTAAATTGGAAGAAAAATGCCATCTACATCCTGTGCAGCCTACTTCACAGATGTGCTGTCTCTTTCTTCTCCTCCTTACCCCAGAGATGACTGGCAGAGGCGCTGCACAGAGATTGTCGCTATTGATGCGCTTCACTTCAGACGCTACCTCGATCAGTTTGTGCCTGAGAAAATCAAGCGGGAGCTTAACAAGGCCAGTAACCTTGTTTCTTAAATCACCCAGGAGGCGCCATCTACTTACTGCTATTTTATTAATGCTGGAGTTAATGCTTTCCGGGAATTCTTGCAATGTCAACAAGTCTGCCAACAGGCCTCCTGATTTAATGGTGGTGTCAGCTTGTACAGAATGTACTTTCCATTTTGTAATTGTGTGATTAAAATCGGAGCTTGCCAGATAGGGTATTGCTTGATATTATGTCCATGTCTGTGTGTATATTTGTAGAAAATCGGCAGTTTTTAATTCACATAGAAGTAAACTAATCTGCCCCTGAACAATTATTCCAAACCTTCCTTGTTGATATTTTCTCTAAATTGTGTGCTGTCAGCATTTTTGAAAAGAAAAACAAAGCCAATATTATTGTATGACAGATTAGATAGGTTACTTAATGATTCTGTAACTTGGCATTTTAGCAAGCATATGACATTTTGGTACAACTTATTCTGCTTCCTGTAATCATTTGCCTTATTTTGTTGGTTGGCAAAAGGATAAAATGTGTCTGAAACTTTCATACTGTTCATTCTAAAGTAAGATACCAAGTACAGCCCTCTGGGTTCTACATATTACCACACATCTGTTCTCTTTTTCTCTGTATTGTACCAGCTCCTCAGAAGATAAGTGTATTCGGTCTTCAGAAATTGACCCAATTTTGCAAGCTATTTTTTCTCTCCTTAGTAGGTGAATATAGTTATGTAAAATGATTAAAATACCAAGGCTTGAAGCTTTATTTAACTTGGTTGCTGATATGTTTAGTCTCTCCAAGCTGACTTTTGTGAATATGACCAAGCTGGTCTATTTCACTACAAATATGTCACAAGTTCATCTTGGTGGATATATTCAAGAGAAGATAAATTATCATCTTCTCATCTCTGGCTTTTACTACAAGAACATTTTATCTGAGATTGTACTCAGTAGACGCTGTCTCCAATAACATTAGCTGCCAAATTGATTTTTAAAAAATTCAGGAAGGCTCTTAATCCATTTACACTGTTGAAAGGATTTGGGGATATAGCTAGATTATGCACATTGGTCTGTATCTTAGCCCTGAGAATATACTATACGCAAACTCTTTTTTTGTTGCTACAAAGCTTCCATACCTCTTTAAAGTATATTACTTTCTTTTTAATGTTTAGACTTTCCAAAAGACTTCCTTCCAAAATATCCTTCTGTCCAAAAGATATTTAAAATGAATGTGCATACTTGTTTTCAAAGTTAGAAGGCTAATGTGATGTGTCACAGATGACCTTCACTCCTACAAAAAAAAATTCCTCTTTAAAATAGTACAGCACAGATTAAACTCTACAATTTCATATAGCATCATCTATTTCCAGGTCCTCTCCTTTTTAAACCTGAGCCTGGAAGATAGGCTATCAGTCTTAACACATAAGAAATTCTTGAGAGGTAGATATGTGAATCTTCTCCATGCTTTTATTGTCCAAATAGTTCTGTCTCTAAACAGTTCTGTATCTGCAAACCAGTATGACCTTTCATTACCAAAAAAGTTATCAGTGGATCTGTTATGTCTTATGGGTTTTTTTAGATTTTACTTATTTTAAAATAATAAGACAAAAATGAAGAGAATCCTATTCTTTGATTTGTATATGTCTAGAATTTGAGTGCAAATGAGAATGCAGTGATCAGCCAGAAATATCAGTGGAATCATGGATTCATTTTACATCAGCATAATAACGATGGACCATAAGTATAATTTTAATTATATAGTAGGAAGAATTCTTTTTGGTATAAGATAGCCTTTGTCTTGAGCAGCTACTAAGTAATAATTTGAAGGCAGTTCAGAAGTAGAGATAAGGGACACGTATTTTAAATTATAACTAAGCACTGTTTATTAAATACCCATGTGTGAAAGACACATAATCATTACGACTATAGTATTTTGTGGAATAGGTGGGCTTGGAGGGGAAGTATTTTAGAAGGAAAATAAATATGAAATTAATATAATTATAGTTACATCTTTAAAACATTCCTGAAAACTTTTTACTCTGGGTATAAGATATATTTATGCTGGCTTATGAATTCTGGACTTAAATGCTGAAGAAAATTCAAATGTATTCTTAGCCTATTGGTTACATTTTCATATACTTCAGTAAATCTGTGGTCTCACTGATAAAAGTACTCCTTCCACTGCCACAGATTCCAAGTTTCTCATCTTCTTATGTTCTTATCCATGTCTTCCCAAAAATCTCCTTAGAAGATCTATTTAACATTCTGGAATCCTCCTGTTGATCTTTCAACATTTTGTGGGTACCCGTGAAGCATACAGGCTGTCCTCCTCCTTCCCACTCATTACCCATATAGCCTAAGTCTTTTTCCAATCATATATTTACTTGTTGAGGTCTTTGACACACAAATGATCATTGATAATAAATTGCAGACTGTATACACTCATTTCCATTGCCATTTGGAATCACAGTCTTTGATTAGCAACCAGACAGCATCACCAGAAGAGTGTTGATGTTAAAAAGACATTTGTGTGTATGTCAGGGAGCAGTTTGGAATCTCTAAAAGAGTTATACAGTTTTTTTTAACATGAGGAATTGTGTTCTCATGAGGAAAAGAAATACCCCCCCCCCCCTTTTTTTGCTTTTTGGTGAGGCAGTTGGAGTTAAGTGACTTGCCCAGGGTCACACAGCTAGTAAGTGTCAAGTTTCTAAGGTCGGATGTGAACCCAGGTCCTCCTGACTCCAAGGCCGGAGCTCTATCCACTGCACCACCTAGCTGCCCCAGAAATACCATTTTTAAAGGTCATTTTTTTGTACAAATGCTATAGATCTATCAATCCTAATGAGTCTAAAATTTTTTAGTAAAGGATTGTTCTCATTTTATCACTGATGTAAAGAAAGAGGCAATGAACTAATTTATTAAATTTCAGTGACAGGTTAACTAGAAAACTAAACCATATACCATGGTGCTTCTTAGCCCAAAGTATTCCATCATCTATAAAAGCTGCATTTCTTTAAAATTAAGACAGGTGGACGAACTTTCTTCTGCTCACTGACAGTACAGGCATCCAGGAAGTTTATGGGATCCAGCTGAACACATATGAAGACAGTTCTGAATTAAATAGATTTCACATGTCATTAAATTATGTAAATGTAAAGGAGAAATCTGTACTCGATCATTTCAGAGATGGCTTTTGTGCAATTTTAATTCTTTTAAACCAGAAGAAAATTAACTTAGTATGAATGGGAGAATAGAATAGAATGATAGAATAGTTTAAAATCAGTTTTTACAAAGTCATAATTTAATATTAATTTTGGAACTCTGAGTACCTTTTTGCTATTCTCTGTCATTACTCAGTGAGAAATAATTGAAAGGTAAATACGGTGAAGTGCTTTGTTATTTCCTGAAAGAGTCGTATCTCTATCCAGGCTTCACCTGTCCTGTTGGAGCTACATTTTGATTTGCTAGTAGAACTTGTTTTCTGAAAAGGGAAATAATATCTCTTTTTGTCAAACTAAAAACAGTTAAACAATATTTAATACTATCATTGATCAGCTGTATAGAAATCTAAAGCAGTAACATGATTGGGAAGATGTATGAATGCACCATGCAAAACTGTGAACAACTATTCCTTTGAAGAGTGAACCAGTCAGTGGGTCGTTGGGCTTACTGAAAGTTCACTGGTAATCATCCCCACAACCCTCTGTCAGTCAGGTCTTGTAGTGGGGACCATCTACCAGATCCCTAAAGAGAATCTCCATTGTTTCCTGTTATTTGTAGAGCTGGTGGATTTATCCAGTATGCTACATGGAAGGGATTAGATATTGAGCCAGTGTACGAACACAAACAGTTCAATACAACTGGCTGCTGATTCTTCTAAAGAGCCTAGGATTTAATCCTGATGGTCCTTCTTTGATGTTTTTGTCTCTTAGGTTTTCAGGAGTATTAGTTCAAGGTGTCATTTATAGGTATTTTTTTAATTCCCAAATACAATCAATTAAAAAAAAAACTTTGAAATTATTGTTTGCAGGATAATGTACAGAGAGCTGGTCTTGGAGCCGACCGAGACTGGGTTAAAGTACTGCCTCTAACACGTTCTGACCATGTGACTCTTGTCCAGTCACTTAACCTCTCAAGAGTCTAGGCTAGAGGTATCAAATATGTGACCCACAAGCTACCTGCAACCTATCACACTCTTGAGTGCAGCCTGAGCCAGATGAAAATGAAATTGTGAAATAGTGAACAAAATAACTAAAAATACAATGAAGCATAGATAATAATATGTGGTTTCCTAAGTCAATGTGCTGCCACAGGGATCCTTCTGTACGTTTTAATGGTCCTTCTTTCTATTTGTGTTTGACGCCACTGCAAGAAAATTCTGTGACACTAAATTGAAGAAAAGATGCTTTGAGAGAGGGAGTTTCCTCATCTAGGAGTCCTGTGCCAAGAAATCAAAAGTTGTTAAAACCTGAAGAAATCAGTGTTAATCAATACTAATGCATATAGTAATTAGATAGTCAATATTATTTGTTAATTTAAGTTCAACAAGGAAATTGTATTAGGTAACACTAAAAAGGAAGTCTTAAATTTTGAAAATTAAAATGGTAGTACTGCTAATTTTAATATGGCATTAATGTAATTGTTACCAAAAGTTGAATGAATCTTCATGAAGAGATTTTTTTTAGCTACAGGTAGCTTCACAAGCCTGCTGAATTGGATGAAGAAACCAAAAGTTTTGCCAAACTGTGGACTTTGGGGGCTACATCTGACATAAAATATGTTCTTCCACACATGTCTTCTGTGGAGCATAATCCTGGAGCCTGTACAGTTTAATGCCTCAGTTTCTTTTGCTTTTTTACACCTTATTTTCTGTACTGTTCCCACTTCTTTTCTTCTTTCCTTTCCTAACTCCTTATTTCTTCTTGCTGCCTGTTTTTATCTTCTTTCTACCTGTGATTCTTCCTTGGCTTTACATCTTGCTTTTTTTTCCCCTTCCAGCCTCCCTTTCCCCCTTCCTGCCTTTGTTTTTTGCTTCTCTTAGGGCTTCTGGCTGCCTGTTTGGTCAGTCCCAGGTATGAAGTGCTCTGACTGTTGATACATAAAGTTCCTGACTCTGCTCCCTAACCTGGACCTCCCACTAGTGCCCTATGCTCCAAAATTATGTCTTACCTGTGGCTTTCCTCATGCTATCAAAATTCACTTCTCTAGTGTATCTCAAATAAATGTTAAAGATAGCTGAAAAGACATACTACTCTAGAAAAGAAAGATTGGGTTGGTTTTTATTTTAACCATCTCTGGACATTGGCTTGTTAGCTCAAATAAATATTGGTATCTTAATGGAACTTGCCTTAAGTCATACCACTCAGTTTATCCCCATGTGTGGATAGGGGAGAAAGGAAAGTATATGGCTCTGGCCCTAGGAGGGCTTTCCCACTAGCTTCCTTCTTTGCTACAGGAAGAGGTTAATCACTACTCTGTTTTCATTTTCTTTTCTGGAGCCCAAACCCTTGGCCATACTGTTTAATTTTCATTTTTCACTGAAGAGAGGTGATTATTGTTACAAAGATACTGATTTTCCCTAAGCTTAATGTGAGTGAGGATCTCCGTCTTGTCCTGTTTTGGGTTATCTGAGCTGGAAGTAGATAAAGGCTACAGCCAGTGGTACCAAAGAACATTTGGGCCATCTGTACTGGAGAAAAGAGGCACGGGTCCCCTGAGCTATGAGTCGAGAGGTCTTCCTCTCCTTGAGATGGGTTTTGTTTGGCTATATAAAAATATTAGTATGAATAGTCCATTTTTATATGAACTGCTTGCCATTTTTGTCTGATTACTGTGATATGTGATAAGGCTTCCATATGTAGTTGAATCATGTCTGACTCACTTTTGCAACTTTTACTTGGTTATAACTCTAAATTCTGTTCATGTACGTTCAGTCTTTGTAGATTATCGTTCATATGGCATGCCTTTTCTGATACAACTTAAATATTTTCAGGAATATTTGGTGTTGTGACTTTAGCATATATTTAATTATGCCTAAATGATCAAAGTTTTCTACATTCTGCATTTTCATGGTTGGTTTCACAAAATTGTTTTTGAACACAGGTCAGATAAGATACCTGAACTCTTTAGAGAACCCGTTAAAAGAAGGGAAAGCCTAAATCTTCTTAAAAACACTCTTCCAATATGTATGAAAAGGAAATTGAAAAGAGTGAAGGCTTCCTCTTCCTTTAGTTATCTGAACAGAGTTAACAGAAAACTGAGTGTCACATGTAGCTGTGACCTGACAGAATACCACTTATCATTCTGTGGGGAAAGTTTGGTATTCACCCTCATGGCATAGTGGCAGAGGCTGTTATTTCTCAGCAACCTGCTTAAAACATTGAGCTTTCCGGTATTTGTGACCTGAGAGAGATTTTCTGAAGCCCCATACATCTGATGGAGCAGGTAATTTGTGGACTCTTGTGTAAGCTGTGTATTGCACGCATTGACTAATGGTGTCATACCAAATTATAATTAATATCTGTCAGAATTTACAGCCCAGAAGGGGGTGGAAGGAACAGGTTTATTAATCCACTCTAGACAATGTGTTAAATAAATTTTTATACCTTTGCAAAAACTTCACTGACTGATTTACTACTTTTCTATATGTGGATTTTGTAGAACCATCTTTCTTTATCCTTGATTTTTCCCTGGGAACATTTGTCACAGATCATTTTCCTTCCTTCATTTACTGTTGCACAGAAACCTATATTTTAGGCTTTATTTGGCACTGGCGATAACCCAGAGCAGATTTGCTTGACTATAACATTAAGCCTTTTAATATTGTCTGATGGTCTTAGAAAGTACTTATGCCAGCAGACAGAAAATCCAACTATCCTGAGAATAAAGATGTGGAAATTGAAAATTCTGAAGCTCAACAGTTAGCTGTCCTGTACTCTGCTAATATACAAACTTTTCATTCAGTGTTTAATAAGTATTTATTTATATTATATTTTCCTACTGTTATTACATTGACATAGAACATCAGAAGGTAGCTTAGAGATAATTCCAGTTCAGAAACACATTAATATACCCCATGGGTGATTATCAGCCCTCTCTCTGGGGCTCTCTCTGCCAGATTCAGAGAGCCCCAGGGACTAGGAGTTGAATCCAGGATGCAACAGGCATTTAACTTCGCTGAACCTCAGTTTTTCAACTGTAAAATGGGAATAATAATTATACTATCTAGCAAAGATATTTTGAGGAAAGCTCTCTGTAAAACTAAAAGCACTGTGTAAGTGAAAATTATTATTGTTGTTAATCAGAATTCTTAATAAACCACCCAGATTATATATTATTAATAGCATTTTATTTTTTCCCCAATTACATATTAAGTCAATTTTTAGCATTCATTCTTTTTTTTATTTTTAATTTTTAGTTTTCAACATTCACTTCCACTGACTGAATTTTGAGTTCCAAATTTTCTCCCCATATCTTCCCTCCCTCTACCCCATGACAGCTCACATTCTGATTACCTCTTCCCCCAATATGCCCTCCCTTCTATCATCCCCATCCCTCTTCTCTTATCCCCTTCCCCTTCTATTTACCTGTAGGATAAGGTAGATTTCTGTACCCAGTTGGCTGTGTATCTTATTTCCCAGTTGCATGTAAAGATAATTTTGAACATTTGCTTTCAAAACTTTGAGTTCCAAATTCTCTCCCTTTCTCCCTCCCCACCTACCCTCACTGAAAAGGCAAGCAATTCAATTAGATTATACATATGTAGTCATACAAAACACTTCCATAATAGTCATGTTGTGAAAGGCTAACTATATTTGCCTCCATCCTATCCTGTCCTCCATTTATTCTATTTTCTCCTTTGACACAGTCCCTCCTCAAGTGTGCTTCTGATTTCCCCCTCTCCCAATCTGCCCTCCCTTCTATCACCCCCCACTCTTATTCCCTTACCTGCTACTTTCCTGTAGGGTAAGATAGATTTCTGTGCTCAATTGAGTGTTTATGTTATTCCCTCCTTCAGCCAAATCCAGTGAGAGTAAGATTCATTTATTCCCTCTCACCTCCTCCCTCTTCCCTTCCACCCTAAAAGCCTTTTCTTGACTCTTTTATGTGAGATAATTTACCTCATTCTACCTCTCCCTTTCTCCCAGTACATTCCTCTGTCATCCCTTAATTTTATTTTTTAGATATCATCCCTTCATATTCAACTCACCCTGTGCCCTCTGTCTATATATATATTCCTTCCAGCTACCTTAATAGTGAGAGAGGGCTCATCAGTTACAAATATCAGCTTTCCATGTAGGAATGTAGACAGTTCAACTTTAATAATTCCCTTATGATTTCTCTTTCGTGTTTACTTTTTCATACTTCTCTTGAGTCTTGTATTTGAAAGTCAGTTTTTCTATTTAGCTCTGGCTTCTCAAGTATACTTTAAATTCCTCTATGTCATTGAATGTCAATTTCCCCACTCAATGATTACACTCACTTTTGCTGGATAGGTGATTCTTGGTTTTAATCCTGGCTCCTGTGATCCCCTGAACATCATATTCCAAGCCCTCCAGTCTCTTAATGTAGAAGTTGTTAAATCTTGTATTATCCTGGTTGTGTTTCCATGATACTTGAATTGTTTCTTTATGGCTGCTTATAATATTTTCTCCTTGACCTGGGAACTCTGGAATTTGGCTATAATATTCCTGGGAGTTTTCCTTTTGGGATCTCTTTCAGGAGGAGATGGGTGTATTTTTTCAATTTCTGTTTTACCTTCTGGTTCTAGAATATCCTTGATAATTTCTTGAAAGATGGTATCTCGGCTCTTTTTGATCATGGCTTTCAGGTAGTCCAATAATTTTTAAATTATCTCTTCTGGATCTGTTTTCCAAGTCAATTGTTTTTCCCATGAAATATTTCACTTTGTCTTCTATTTTTTTATTCTTTTGGTTTTATTTTATAATTTCTTGATTTCTCATAGAGTCTTTAGCTTCCATTTGCTCCATTCTAATTTTTAAGGAATTATTTTCTTCAGTGAGCTTTTGGACCTCCTTTTCCATTTGGCCAGTTCTGATTTTTAAGGCATTCTTCTCCTCATTGGCTTTGTGGACCTCTTTTGCCATTTGCTCTAGTCTATTTTTTAAGGTGTTATTTTCTTCAGTATTTTTTGGGGTCTCTTTTAGCAAGTTGTTGACTTGTTTTTCATGATTTTCTTGCATCACTCTCATTTCTCTTCCCAATTTTTCCTCTACTTCTCTTACTTGATTTGCAGAATACTTTTTGAGCTCTTCCATGGCATGAGACTAATTCATATTTTTCTTGGAGGTTTTGGATGTAGGAGTAGCATTCACTTTTACAAGATTTTGAGTACCAAGTTTTTCTCCCTCCCTCCCCTCCCCTCTTCCTAAAACGGTAGGTGGTTTGATATAGGTTATACATGTGCAGTCATGTAAAACGTATTTCCATATTAGTCACAGTTGTGAAAGAAGAAACAACTCAAAAGGAAATAAAACCATGAGAAAGAATAAAATAAGTGAAAAAAAGTGTTTCGATCTGCATTTAGAGCCAATCAGTTCTTTATCTGGATGTGGATAGCATTTTCTTTCTTGAGTCCTTTGTACTTGTCTTGAATCATGGTTTTGCTGAAAAAAGCTGTCATTCATAGTTGATCATCACACAGTGTTGCTGATACTGTGTACAATACTTTCTTGGTTCTGCTCATTTTACTTTTCATTGTTTCATACAAGTCTTTCCAGGTTTTTTGATATGTGCCTGTTCATCATTTCTTATTGCACAATAGTATTCCGTTACATTCATATACCACAGCTTGTTTAGCCATTCCCCAATTGATGGGCATCCCCTCAGTTTCCAATATTTTGCCACCACAAAAAGAGCTTCTATAAATATTTTTGCACATGTAGGTCCTCCTTTTTTTATGATTTCTTTGGGATGTAGACTCAGTACAGTGTTGCTAGATCATAGGAGTTTTGTAGCCCTTTGGGCATAGTTCCAAATTGCTCCCCCCGAATGGTTCGATCAGTTCACAACTCTACCAATAGTGCATTAGTGTCCACGTTTTCCCACACTCTCCAATTTTATCATTTTCCTTTTTTGTCATATTAGTCAATCTGATAGGTGTAAGGTGGTACCTCAGAGTTTTAATTTACATTTCTCTAATCAAAAGTGATTTAGAGCACTTCAGATTGTACATTTCTTAAATACACATCTGCATATCTGACTAGGTGGTTAGCACCTGTGGAAAGGTGCAGTAGTAAACCTCACCTTTGAAGAATACAGGCTACTCAAAGGATTTCCAAGGAAAAACACTGTTTTAATGAGCACCTTTCTAATAAGTAAAAGTAATTTATGTTGTTGTTCAGTTGTTTCTGACTCTTTGTTACCCCATTTGGGATTTTCTTGATAAAAATACCAGAATGGTTTGCCATTTCCTTCTCTAGTTTATTTTACAGATGAGGAAACTGAGGCAAACAGGGTTAAGTGACTTGCTGAGGATCACACAGCTAGTGTCTGAGGCCGGATTTGAACTTAGGAAGAGGAGTCTTCCTGACTTAAGGCCCAGCACTGTGCACTGCACCACCTAGCTGCCCAAGTAATTTATAGATCTGTCTTAGCTCTTGCAGTATGTGTAGCTGGCAGAATTTACAAATCATTTCTGCTTTTTTTTGGGGGGGGTTGTTTCTTTCAGCATAAGAAATCTAAGCACATGATGGTTCAATGATTTGCTTTGCTTTTCATGAAGGCAAGTCAATGGCAGAAGCTGAAGTACAGCTAATAACTTCTTTCTTTTAAGCTTTTTTTTTTATTCCTGGTATATTTTGGTGAACTTCTACTTTGAACTACATTTTCAGCTTTCCTAAGAAAATGAATAGATTTTTTTTTTAAAAACCCACAAGCATAGCTTTTAGTACTACAGAAGCATCAGATCAGAAATGTATCCACTCACATGTTGACATTTCTTGTTTTCCTATAGGCTTATTGTGGTTTCTTCCGACCTGGAGTTTCTTCTGAGAATCTTTCAGCAGTGGCCACAGGAAACTGGGGATGTGGTGCCTTTGGGGGTGATTCTAGATTAAAAGGTGAGTGAAGAGAAAAGATTGACAGATTTGTATACATATTGATTGAGCCAGAAGTTAATTCGTCCCTACAATACCTCCTTTTTTTTAATTATGAATTTAGACATTATCAATGAATACTTCAGTGTACAAAGAACAAAAAAAGATTTTTATATGAAACAGTGAACTTGTGTTCTATAATTTGTTTTTTTAATTGTCTGTATTAACACAAAATTTCCCTTTTGTGGCCTGTTGTGAATTCCTTCTTCTGAGTATTTTTAAATGCTTTAATGATGCCTCCCCCCCCACTTTTTTTTATTATTTTTTTTTTGTTTAGTTTTTAGGCAATTGGGATTAAGTGACTTGCCTAGGGTCACACAGCTAGTTAAGTGTCAAGTGTTTGTTCTGAGGCTGGATTTGAACTCAGGTCGTCCTGACTTCAAGGTCGGTGCTGTATCCACTGCGCCACCTAGCTGCCCCCTCTGCACCGCCTAGCTGCCCCCTCCCCCCTGCCTTTTTTGTATTTCCATCATTACCCATTAATTCATCCCCTCAAAAAAAAAAACCACCAAAACAAATCTAGAAGCCTTCTCTGTGTCCAATAAGCATAGTCAAGCAAAGCAAGTCGGTACATTGACCATGCATAAAAGTGTGTGTTTCATTCATTGTATCTCTGTTGTCATCTTCTTGCCAAGAAGTGTGTGAGGTATACTTACACTCAGTCTTTTTATTTTAAAGTCATGATTGGTCACTACTTTGATTAGAATTCTGAAGTCTTTCAAAGTCATATAGTATCTCTTCTTTAAAAGGAGATTGAATTATTCAAGGGGGTCATGATACAAATGAGACAACTGAGTATGAAAAAGTGACTTGCTCAAGATAGTACAGTAAGTCAGACATTGGGTTTAAATTTGGTATTTGTGCTCCTCCACTGGTCTTCATTAAGATAGAGAAACCACCATATTAATAAATTTTTGAAATGACTGAAAAAAGTAAGCTGTTGAGTAGGAGTATTACATACATACTTGTGTATATTGATCTCTGTACTTTACCATAATCTTTTTTTTTAATGTTTTAATATTTTTTATTTTTAGGTAATTGGAGTTAAGTGACTCTCCCAGGGTCACACAGCTAGTAAGTGTCAAGTGTTTGGTCTGAGGCTGGATTTGAACTCAGGTCCTACTGACTTCAGGGCTGGTGCTCTATCCACTGCGCCACCTAGCTGCCCCCATAATCTTTTAAAAATATATAAATAGGAACATAGTTCTTTGATTGTGTAAAAGCAAATCCTTTTGTTTACATACTCCCTGGGATATCCAGTTTTTTTTGTTACATGGATAAAAATCCTATTAGCCTGATTAGTCAGTCACCCATCCACAAACCAGAATGGCTAAGTTCCTGGCTTTCACTTGCTCCACCCCCTTCAGCCACATCTTGGGATAGTTAGACACCATTCTCAGTGTTCTGAGATTCCTTTATCTGATCTGAACCTTTTAATCCTTCCATACCTTTGTATACTTCACCCCTCCCAACAACAACAACAACAACAACAACAATAATAATAATAATAATAGCTGACGGTTATATAACAATTTAGAGTTGGCAAAGGGCTACCTATAATAGCTTATCAGTGTATATTAATATGTTATACATATTATCTCATTTAAATATCACTACAACCTTGTGAGATTGGTGCTAAATGAGGATACTGAGGCTGAAAGGGGTTAAGTGACTAGCCTAGGGTTACGCAGTATCTTGAATCAAAGACTTCCTGACTTCAAATCCAGTGCTCTGTCCTATATCACAGTGCCTTCTAATGCTGTTCTTTGTCCTTTCCTTGACCTCCTGTCATTCTGGTCCTCCTTGCTTTCCCACTTCATCATCTGAGATACCCAAGGTAGTTCTGACCCCAAGAAACAAGAAAACTGCCTTCTCTAATCCTTTAGTACACCTGATTCTTATGGTCACATTAAAAATACGCCAACTTTTTCTCAGTGATCTCCTCACAATGCTGATCAAAGCTGCTGTTGCTTAAAAGACTCAGCCATTCCCTTGGCACACTAAACCTTCTTTTCTCCAGACTAAACATTTCCATTTGCTTCTGCTCACTCTTCTGAGGATGTGAGAGGTATCTCTAAGCTTCTGAATGGCATCTTATGGAGGCAACATTACATTTGTTCTGAATCCCTCAGACTGCAGGACTAGGAGCACATGTGGGAGTTGCACATTTAGACTTGATGTCAGGAGCAACTTCCTGACAGTCTTGAGTTGTCCAAAAGTTGGTTGGGTTGCCTCGAAAGGCAAGGGCTTTCCCATAACCAGAGGTTTTCTGTCCAAAGCTGGGTGACATCTTACAACATGTAATGTAAAATGACTTTTTGTTCAGGCTTGGGATGGACTGGCTAGCTTTTTGAGGCCAGTCTCCTTCTAAGTGTTAGGTTCTGAGATTCTGTGACAAACAGTTTGATTACATAAATGGAGACCAGAGGGAGAGAGCAGTCATAACAAATCAGTTTCCCTTTTAAATTATCTTTCATAGGATGAGAACCAGTGAAAGTATTTTTTGAACTGGACTATTTGTTAGAAAAAAATCATTACATTGTGGACTATCTGCCAGGAGGTGGTATTAGTGTCATTATTTAGTTATTTGTTATATTGATTGTAATGAGATTTACCTATATCTGGTTTGGCTACAAAGTGGTCGAATGATATGTGTATCCTATAATCATTTTAGTTCTTAACTTGATCTATCATCTCCAAATCCTGTGATCCTTGCAAGTATAATTGTATTTGGTATTAACTGATAATTTTTAAAGTTTAGCAATATTTTAAAAACACATGGTAATTTTGCTTACCTTTTGAAAGTAAAAAATATAATTCCTGATATTCAATCTGAGTCATTCTTTATCTTCTGAGTTTGTTTTAGGGAGCCTATTTTCTATTCTGAGCTTATTGATTTTATGACAGCCACTTTTTTCTGTTTTGTACTAAGTGAACAGATGACCAGGTTTAGGTCATCAATCCCCAAATCGAGATCTGCCAGGGGTCTGGCCATATTGGATTGTCACTTCAAGAAGTTTTATACATCTACATAAGATCTCAGTCTTAATTGCTGCTCTCCACTGTATAACCCTCAAAAGAATAAGTTAATGTCTCAATTCAGAAGTAAATTTTGTTATAACCACCTTTTAAGTCAGATTGGAACTTTTGACACATTCATCTCCTTAATCTTTTCTAGGTAGTCACTCATCAATTGCTAATTGCCTTCTTAGCATCCCTTATACTCATCCTTCCCTCTTCTTTCTCTCTACAGATGCTCTAGTCAAGGCTTTTATCACTTAGTAAATAAGCTCTTAACTGTCTTTTACCCTTCTGAGCTCTCCTTTGTAATGTAGTCTGACTGATTTTCCTTAAGCATTGCTTTCATCATGTTACTACTTTACTAAATAACTTTTTATGGAAGCTTCTTTGCCAACAAAGTGCTATCTACTGTCTGTCTGACTATTAGTTTATGTATTATTTCCAACTCTTAAATTTAACCCCTTTTGTCTTATTTTCTAGTCCTTACCCTCATGTCATCTGTTTCTCTTTCCCCCTACAACTCTGTAGCACACACCTTCTGCTCTAATATGTGCTCCTCACCATACCACAGATGTTCCATGCTTGTTCCTGACTATGTGTCGTCATTTATGCTCCTCTTGCCAGGAATGTCCTTATCTATTTCCTGCACCTATCAAAATTCTGTCTATCCTCCAAGGCACGCCTGAGGTTCTACCTCCCTATCTGTGGATTCTTGACAGATTTATAGTCTATACCATGTGATTCAAAACATTAATAGACTTTTGTGTTATTTATTCTTGTGGGTGTTAATCTTCTCTCTCCATCAGTAGGAATTATGTTTTATATTTCTTTTTTTTTTTTTGCCACAATACTTAATATGGTACAGAGTCCTCAATAAAGATCTATTCATTAATTGGCATATTTTGTTTTTGCAGTTTCTCTCCTTCTAACCATTAGTCAAATCATCCCACAAAGGCCTCCACTGAAGTTCTTCTCTAGTACCTTGTCCTAGTGTGGGTCTTGCCCTGGTGGGCTCTTTTTTTTGAAGGGTAAACTCATGGAACACAAGCGTTGGCAGGTTCAGGGTAGGCTTTGAACATGGGCTCATCAACTGACACCTGTATGAATACGCGTCTGAGAATTGGCTATAGATGTTTGGAGAAGCTCTTTACCAGAAAACTAGCGGATAATATTAATACATTGCAACTCATGAAGTTTTCTGGAAATTAAGACATCAAGCGGCTGCAATTTGCAGTAGTGAAAAGAATAGTCACAGTGATGAAATCATAGATCTTTAGATATATTGAATAAGTTCAATGATAAATGAAGTGGCCCTCCCACCTACTTCACAGTTAGAATGTATATGCCTGAACCTTCTTTTAAGCAGATTTTGACACATTCACACTGAAAAGATTGGGTACCTGTAGTCTGTTCAGAAACATTCAGGTATCTTTAACTCAGGACACCATAGTTGGCTACAATTTCTTACTTCTGGGCAGTTAATACCCATTTTAGGAGAGCATATCTTCAAAATGTACTGAAGAATTAATTGCTTTCTTAGATTGTTTTTAAGCCCTAAGAAAAATGCTGATCAGGACAATTATGTGTTTACTTGACAGAATCACAATTTGATAAAGTTAGATGTATATTATAAATGTGTATTGCTTACTGTTCATTTGATATGTAAAACTTTAATAGTCAGCAGGTGACCGTATTTAGTTAATGGGCTACTTTTATTCGCTAGGGATTATAAGTCCCTTGATATTTGTGAAAATTATTCCTATACTACCTTTAAACTGTATTCTTTATGTTCAGTATTGTTCTGGCCAAGGACTCTAATTGCCTTCAAGCGTTTTATTTAAAGATACCAGATTCTTCAACATCAAGGGATTTCACAGGATTGAGCTGTTTTATTTAGGGCTGCTTGGTGGCAGTTTGGTATTTTGCATGTTAATATAGCTATA